GATTTCAAATCAAAACTAGGGGCAGTTATTTTTGCAAAGTTATCGCGCTTACATTCTTTAGCCCCGATTTTACACTATCTGAAAGCCATGGACATCTATTTTTGTCAAAACCCACTTACTATTCAACAATAATGTCTGATTAGGTCACTGGCGAATGAGAATTTCTTACTAATTGTTCTCAACATCGCGGTTAATGCGCTGCGCCATGAGGTAGAGGATGCATTAACTGGACTAATGTTTGTACCGAAATGGATACCCCATTTTTGGCTAAGATCTTTGACTATCACCAAATATTCAGAAGTTGAAATATACCCAATACTCTAGCTCTCAACTTCGATCAATCATGCAGATGACAGATCATGCAACAGCGGGACGTCTTTTCGGGCATGAAAAAAAAAGGAAGGGAAGCGAGAATCATTGACTTAAACAGTGACATTTCAAAGCTAGTTTAACGTCATTACACGGCAAAAATCACTTGGCTATTATCTAAAGCTACAAAAGCTTCTACTTATCAAGCAACACGTCGCTGCAATGCATAGACCACGAAAAACACTCTGAACTAAACAAAAATGCCCTTTGTCCTGTCATGCATTAGCGATTCAACCCGGAAAACAGCTCAAGGGTAATGAAAATTTAAAATTGAGGGGAATTCTTTCTCCTCGAACTTAACATTGGAAGGGTCCCATTCGGGATAAACCAAATACTCCAAATAAGCCTGAATACCTCGACTGGTCTCGACTGATGAGCCGACGACTGTTGGACATGCTGTCGTGTGGGGACCAAAGTGTGGTGAACATTTTGGGATGGTACTGGTTGAGCACTTGAAACCGATGATGGCTTTGCATGCTGTTGATGTTGATGGTGTTGTGAATGTGTTTGTTGAAGTTGGTGTTGATACTGCTGTTGCGAGTTTTGTTGATGGTAGTAATAGTTCTAAAAATCAATAGAAATTGACAACATGATCTCAAACCTGACGTGAAAAATGACCTGATCTACTGCTGCTGCTTGTTGGGCCATGCTTCCTTGAGGTGTAACGTTTTGTGCATAATTTTCAGAAGATGCTGGAAGCATTTGGCATGGAAAAAAGCAAAACAGCAAAATCATGATTGAAGCGCAACACACGCTTCATTTTTATATAGCAGGATCGTTTGAGGGGCAATAAAAGATGAAGCGCTTCGACAAAATGGAGAGGAAGGCATGGAAAAGACGTATGCTGAACTTTTTTTAAATAGAACAGGGAAAGACGAAGCAAGGAAGACCGAACAGTCTGGTGAGGGCAAAACGCCACAGAAGGTATATAAAAGCGCTGAACTAGAATTCCTGGGAAGATTTATTTTGAACATAATTGGAACGGAAGGTAGACCAGGATTTCGATTTTAGGGTACGGATCGTCGGTTTCAAACTACAATAAATTCACCAACCGCAATACAAAAAGAATCTAATTCTTCTAAATACTACGAAATACTTACCATCGTGTTGTTGATAAGGATAAACAACATTTTGTGCACCTTGCTGATATGCACCCATCACGGCAGCACTATATGGATCGACATAGTTGGATGCCGTTGAACGATTCGCTTCCTACAGAGTAACTTCAGAAATACTTATAAAACATCAGGACCTGATCTTGAAAAGGAGACATACCGTATGCGCACCGGCATGCTGACTCCAACTGTAATGATTCTGTTGTGAGGGTGCGTTACCGAGATTGATACAATCCCAGTTCCCGTTCGTGTGGTCTTGTTGTCCGCCCGCTGACTCGCCCAATCCAGAATGGTCTACATTCTAAAAGAAAAAAAACGACATGAACATTCCATTTCATAGCACCTAGCCCAAAAGAGCTACTTTACAATTTCTTTTATCAATTTAATTTACTTTACAATCCTCCGATAGGGTTTTTTAGCGCTGCATTATAAGATGGAAAATAGTAATGGGTATATCCAGGGACGGAGCTACCACAGACATGATCCGAGGATCGAATACCCGATGGAAACAGGTCTGGGCAAACCATATCTCCCATCAATCTAAAGATGAAAAACTAATGCTAGCCTCGACTGGATCCGGTGGGATGGTGTTGGGGTAGGTAACGAAATCATTACCTCAAGGGTTATATACTTAAACGCTACCACGATTTTCAGTGAAGTTCACAGGCGTGCGGGTATCCCAAGACTGAATCGATCAATACCGTGAATTCGGACCCCCAATTCAAAAACAAAAGTAGACAGTGCACTGAATGGTGCGTAAAAAACACAAAAAAATCGACCACAAAGGGGGTTCTTTTGGAAAAAGCTCCCATGCATAATTTTTTGTGAAAAGCTTTCATCGGAAGTTTTTCGAACAAACGTTCAAGAAAAGTAATTATGAAGTAAATATAAGAAACATACCTGTGCAGTGGGTGAATTTGATACGGCATGCTCCCAGAAGAGCGACATACACTGAAGTCAGCCCAACTAAAGTAGAACGAGCACCGTGAAATCGAACACTATTAGAAAATGTAACCATTATATTGACAGTTTAAAAAAAAGACATTGCCAGCATAATAGCGAACATTAGAATAGTTCTGAAGGGAGAAATCGTTAAGAATTGGGCAGAGTGTAATGATCAAGACGCTTATGCATGTTAACGGTCTCGATAGAAATCGATCGGACGGTGAATACTCCAAGGTGGCAAGAGATTGGACGGGTCGCGACGAGAAGCGATAAGAGGGTGACCTCGATACCGAAACTTCTTACAGCGACGGATTCTGAATATAACAAAAACTGGTATTTATGAGAAATCATTAAAAACTGTCAGAAGAACGGGAAGCGATGATTTTCTTGTTTTCCAGAGAGTTTTACAAAAAACAAGAAAAGAATGTGTATTTTTAGTCATTCTACTTCAGTGATTATGATAATATGGGGAAGTTGTGTCCCTGAGATAACGCTGTACCCAAGAGTTCACATGGAATTCCAAGACTGAACAAGGAAAAGGGTAGAGCTGGCACACGCGTACGCGTAGAACATTGCACGCGCGTTGCACACGTCAGTGTAACGAATGGAGCGCGTTTAATCGACTATCAATGCCGGTCGATTTTCGGAGACGACGACGTACCGATCGTTTGTTTGATGACTGCCGTTCGATATACAGCTGAAATCGATGAACTTCAGTGGGGCTCCACTCTGGTCATCAACCCACCCGACCCACATCGCCTTCTTGCCGTGCTCCATTCGAACAAGTTACTTTAAAGGACTCCAAAGATCGTAGGTCCAGGACCATCTACACTTGAGGTTCTTGCATCGAGCATCTGCAGTGAGGCGTGTAATGCCATCGCGTTTTAACAAGGTCAAAACGCGAGTTTTCTCTCCAAGTGATATAAACTTGAAATTACGATAGCGCCAGGTTTCTGCTCCAGGGGCAATTCCACTCCAAGGAACAGCGGGTCTTAAATGAGGTCATATGGGAGGGTGTGGTCCCAACACGACAGGTCCCGCTGTACCGCAAGTGAGCTTCCCTTCAGTGCAAATAGGCAGGCCTTCCTACAGGATTGGTTTGAGTTTTTTTTTTTTCTTCGCCTTCCCCCGTCGAAGTGGTCCAGTTGGCTTCGGATTAGTATCGGTGGTCTGCCATATCAGGTGGAAGCCAGCCAAAAGCTGCGGTTTGATAGGTCTTCCATGAACTGCCGCTAACACCGATGAACAGTTAATCTCGAGCGAGTAGTGCTGGTAGTTCCCGGTGGAGAAGTCGTTCCCTTTAGTTAAAACTGCAATAAATCAAAATTTTCAGTTTTCCGTAATGCTGTTTCCCAGACGGCTTACCGTGATTTGTTTAGGTAATGACTAGCGATCCCCATCTTCGATCTATGATCATTTTCACGCAGGGATAGGCATGCGAATACCAGGGAAAGGGTGCCGCGCGTTTTTTTCGCCCGCGGCATCGATCGATAATGTGGTATGTACATGCTGAGTGGCATGGCTCGAACGCAGCCACCTTCATTGAATCACTCGTTTGTAATGGGAAGTGATCTTTACATAGCACAGCTATCCCATTTTTTCTTATAACCTTTTCGGAATTTTGAAGGTATTACTAAGTAATTGAATGTAAACTTCCAGCGAGTAGCATATGATTTTGGAGACAGCGAGTGAGCATGGCACCGCCCAAATATTTGCACAGGTCCTCTTGCTCGTTGAAGAAAACACTCGCACAATTCTAGTTTTTTTTACCTCAGGAATCTATTAGCGCTTCGGGAAAATAGTGTTTGTGTGGTCGATCTGCAGAGTTATTTTCCCTCGTCGTCCGAAGTTGTAGGGGACAATCCCATACAGCTACGGTCAGGGACACAGACACTTTCTGCATGTTTTGTTCCGCTCCTCTTCACCGGAAGCGATCAAGAACCCACGTAATTCATAAAACAGCTGGAACGTAACGGTTCTAGTGTGCAATTTTTCGTCGTGGTGGTTTTTTCCCCTCAAACGGAGTAGAGGGCAGTGCTGCTGGGCCCATCCATTCCAGTCTGTGTCCTGGGCTGGGCCAATTAAGTTTGCTTGGTGAGAAAGAATCGGACAGAGGGCCATGTAGAGGTAGGCACGTAGTTACCGAGGGGGATAGAGTTGGGTGATATCTGGGAATGTGGAACTCCCAAAGAACTAGACTACGACGGCTTACTGGGACTTGGCGGCGTTGTTTTCCGGGAATGAGATGATAGCTTGCAAATGAGCCATGCACGACTTTAAACTTGAACACCTCCCAAGCAATTCCAGTGGAATACGGTAGAAAATTAAAATCGGAAGTTTTCAAAGTAGAAAGCCAGTAAAATAATTGTTGAAGCCGCGAAGTAGAACATCAGACTGTCAGTCATCTGCGTAACGTTCGTGAAGGCGGAGTGACGAAAAACTGGTAAGAATGTGGTCTACCACTAGGGCCACTGTAAATAAGGAATTGGAAAATGGACAATTAGAAATGAATATTTATTACTCGTCTGTAACACTATGAATTTATTGTTTGACAGTAGGTATACACAGCTGTTAAATTGACCCGCTAGCTTGGCAGTATTGCAGGAAGACATTGATTTGTTCACATGTAACGTCCGGATAGTAGAGACGGATGAGAGCGCAATTACTGCCAGCAAACGAGGACACATTATTGATGCCAAACTTCTGTCCAATGCTTTTTGTCTCCTCACACAATTTCAGCAGTTCTTCTTGTGAAAAGGTGTTCTCCGTTTTGTCATAAATGGGCTGAATATGGTAAAGTTATATAACAAGAAATAAAATTATAATACAAGAAAATAGTCAGTACATTAAAAGTTTTTTAATTATCGAGTTGGGAGTGGACGGTCTGCGACGCGTGCGGCCGCAACGCGTCGCGACAAGTTAATCGATTCGGGCATTGACCCGCCGCTTCCTCACAAGTTCATTGCGGATAAGAGTTATAATTAAGCCTTCGCATGTATTTTATCTCTTTGATTCAGTCTAGCCCGCAAGTAATCATGAGATCAATATGCCGTCCACGAAAGATTATCGCTAACCTGTACTGGGCCATTAGATGTGATCGCATCAAGAACTTTAAACACATATTGAGAACTGGTTCTATGTGGGACAGAGAGAACGAGTAAAACCAGTCAACGAGCATACCAAAAACTAGTTTTCAATGCAATTTGCCAGATAGGATCGACTTGTGACAGAACTCACCACAAATCATGTCTCCCACTTTCGTTCGGAGGGGAAATCATAGCCCACAGATGGTGTCAGCTTTTCTCAAAACCGAGATTCCTTCACCCTTACAGACGTGAATGGAAGGACAACTAGTATAGCTGCATGCTATAGTCGCGTGGCAATAAATAACCGCACCGCGACCGCACGCGCGGGATAGCAACATTACTGCATCGGAGGGTGCGCTCGGCAAAGATCGAAAACTAAAAGGTTTTGCGCCCGTACATATAAGAAATCAGCCCAAGTGAAAACGAAGTAAAGCCACAATTTGTTATCCCTGATTGACTACGGAAAGCTCTGATCCCCTCAACGCTCGCGCCTTTCTAGACAGACAGTTCTGGCTTCCTCACTACATGCCTTTTATAAAATTCAACCGTTATAGATTCATATATTCGACGAGAAAATTACTGAAAAAATTTCTCGTCAAAAATCAATATCCACATTAACATTCCGTCTCACCTCAAGTGTGACCACGGTTTCTGTGGTAGCCCGTGATGTTGTCTTGTCGTCGGTGACGTATTGCTGAACGATTCCGATTAAGATCGTGCACTATGAAACTTCATCAGAAATAATTATGGTAATGTGTGCAAAATTATTTCGGCTCTACCACTCAACTAAGATTCTGTGTAGATTTTTTCTTACAAAAAATGTTGGAAAAACTTAAATCTGAATTCGTATGCAGAAAAATTCTATTTGCGAGTAGTTCTGAAGCAAGTTGTGGCTTATTTAGATTGCGTATGGTCACGCTGCAACGCTCCGTTCGTGGATCAGTAATGAGATGAACATATCGATCGGTAGCATGACGCAGACCGTGACCGCGCGCGCGTTTTTCTAGGAAGTCGCCAAGGATTTTAGTGGATCAAAATGCCAATGCACCGTAATTTAGATATANATATATATATTTATTTACTTATTTATTTGTTTATTTGTTTATATGACGTTTATAATGAACAATCACTCACCACAGATTGAAGATTTTGATATGTATCTTTGATGTGTCGACCACCACGCGGATGGACCTTCACCTGTCGTAGTTTCTTCTTTTTCACTCGTTTCGCTTTCTTTTTTATTTTCGGCCTTCTTGTCGTTATCGTGACATTCTCCTCGTCGCTAGATGGGCCCTGTAATGATCGTCGTAACTACACGGATGACATTCCATCAACAGGAACTTCCGGTTATTCAAGCATGCCAGCAACACGCCTTACGAGGTCATGAAGGGAATGGAGGGTACCAGTTTCTAAGGGTATCGGCGGACTTCCGTTCTCAGTAAAAGTCTTCCGCGCTTTCATGGTTCCATGAGATTGCAGGTACGGTAAGATACTGTAATTATCAAAGGGGTAGATTAGTTAACACCGATACCCCAATGGAAAATCGGTTCAAGAACCGGTTTACTAACGGAACCTTAGCTTCACTTCTTTCGTAGGGCTCTGCAGGAACCTTCCCTCCACTCCTTCAGCAGAGCTCCACTCCTTCAGTAGAGCTTTGCACGAAAAAAAAAAGAAAAAAGTGACAGTGAATGAAGCAGGAATTTATCATTGAACAACCCTGGGATACACTATGCACCTGTTTCCTACCATGAATCCTTACAGCGATTGTTTTTGTGTTCGACCTATACAATGCTTTGGAAGTCAGCTATTGCACAACCTAATTTCATTACCCTTGAAGACAAGTCTGGTCTCAAGTAAGTTACTCTGATTGGATAGTTACGAGAACCTAATGGAATCTGGCCTGCGCACTTATGACTAAGTGGCAGCCTCATTTCCTTCCGCTCATGTGTCATATGCAATTCCTTAGTTTTAATGATAATCCGATGATAGAGGCGTGGGTGGAAGAGGGTGAGAGGGAAGATAGGAACAGGGATGACTTTCATGGTATTTATTTTTCTCCATTGAAGAAAATTGGTCCTCGTGGAGGTCCCAGTGCTCAATTCACGACAAGTTGATGTCGGAGTTTGGCTAGCCCTCATTCAGTGCTAATTGGTTGATCGTATTTGCAGCTCGATAGCCCACCAATCAGAAATGTGTTGAGGCTTGCGGGAGTAGGCTACCAATTTACTTTACTCAGCGCCTTTCATTGAACTTTCCAGGTTACCAGTTACGTTCCATGCTATACATCCGCTAAGTAGAAGACTAGCTAGGGTTCAGCCGAAGTTCCCCTTCTTGCTTTTAAACATGGCACAGTTCAGCCTCTCGATAGGTATAGCCTGGGGAGACGGGCAATAGGAACGGTTTTGTGAAATCGATTCGCCGCCGCGACTGTTATTCCAGGTATGATTCTACTGTTAGTTCTTTTGTTCCTGTACTTCTTACTTGCTGCTGCATTCTGCTACACTCCTTCGCGTGCGCCGCCTATTTCGCCGCGACGCGACGGTTTCGTTCCTACTGCACCACACCCGTATAGCCTGCTTACTAGCGAATTTCAAAAACTAATTCTTGTATGAGCATTTAGAAATGTACAAGACGGAAACGAGCACAAATAAGCTCCATGACACTCACCTGCTGGATGAAAGATGATGAAGTACCGCTTACTTCAACAACATGTTCTAACTTGGGCCTCTCATTGTACCAGGGGTCGGTGTTTTCGAAGTTTCTATCCTGAACATTAAAAAGTAGTCGACAGCCGCCGTTGGAGTTTATAACAAAGGCTAGTCAGAAGTATTAGATTGCATGAATACATAATATTATTACTCATTACTTTAGGCTCTGAAGAAAGGTCTAGTAAGGAAATTGTCATGCAAACGGACAGGAACAATAAATTCCATGTTCTGTGTTTGAAGTAGTAGGGAATGTCGCATTCTTGGTTTAGCGAGACATTATGCTTGGGACGCCTGTGATTGGCTATCACTACCAGCAGCGAATCACATGCCCCGGAAGCACGTCAAGAGGTAATACTCGAAAACACTGCAGCTGATCGTCTTCTTACTTCGAATATCATCATGGCTATCAGTTTCTGAGTTTCTCAATTTTTTATGTCATCGTACAGCAATTAATGAAAGATTTTTCGATAAATTTGTGAGAACCAAAAATTGGTTCATCGTGTAAATGAATCATATGAATCGAACACATGTGCTGATTATTTTGCTACCTCTGATAGCGGAGAGCCAGCGATTGAGGCCGAACGGGAAACTGGATCCATTCGAAGGTGAACTTGGCGCAGGCCGGACGACGCATGAAAATGGAGAGTTGAATTGTTCATCAAGTTACTGGTAATATAAAACGGTGCTTCTTCTGCACAAAACACTTACCTCAGCTAGGTAACACACACCCGCGTACAATAGGACATGAAGTAATTTCATATCCGCTGAGCGGATGGACCCTTAAAAATGGGTCCGAACCTCTCGACGTTGATGTATTGTTACTAAATCACACAATACAGTAAGGCTTTAGAGATTGCTACGGTGACGGCAGAAATGTTGCGATGAGCAATCCCATAAACAGGAGGAGAGAGAGAGAGGATAAAACGTGTCGGAAGGCTTATGGTCTCGAAGTGACGAAGTAGAAATCGGGAGTCTGGTTTGGAGTGATGAACCCGTTTGGCGATTGTTCGCTTTTCCATGTTACTTTTTCCGGATATCAAGTTTTTACGCACACTGTAAACGAGATGGGAAAGCGGAGACGAGAGACGACCACTGGCCTAGATTCATCCCGATTTCGTTGTAGAGATCACCCTGGGAAACAATACTCTTCAACGACAACCATGAATAGATTTGAAGGACGTCAAGAATGAGGAGGAGGATTATTTCGGGGGAATAGGGCGGCTCATGGTGAAGAAATGTCACCCGCGTGGGACGACTATAAGGAAGGAGGCTCGGGCAGGGGGCCGCATTACCATATCGATGACAAGGCGATGAAGATGAGTGATCAAAATGATTGAAAGTCATCCGTGAAATGACGACGTAAACGGCGACCTAGATCATTGATGCGTGCGATCGGCCCTTCACAGATTAGAGTGCAATGGAGAGAAACATAGTGGAATTTCTGGATAACAAGTGATCTTCTTCACCAATATGTGGCACCTGTTGGGATCCCAAAAGTAGTCTATGAGTTCTTACAAATTAAGTGGGTACTCTATAACTGCGAAACAATCTTACAAAGGAGTGGTTTGGGCAGTCGGTTTTGACAAGGCAAAACGATCAGTCGTTTATGACCTATGATTGTCAGTTGATTTTCTGATTGTTTTTTTCAAAGGCACAGTTCACGTTAATAATGGTTTCTGAGAGTCTTCTCTTGGGTGAACTCGTGACCCCCAAGGATAGCCTGAGGGACGCTGAAGGGTCGAAAATGGCCATGATAGGGCATAATAAGGGCCCCAAAACCGGCCTAGTCGACGTATACACCCAAGGCGGACGAGTTCTTAGGCGTTGTGAAAGCTGTTTGGCTCGCACCATTCGCACCGAGACCCACACCTTGCACGCAGGCAGCTTACTGTAGCCAGCTCGTCCAGATACCCCTTCCAAGCAACCTTTTTCGTCACATTCTCGTCCAACCCCGAATATTGAATCTTTTCAGAGATAAGAGCTCGTTTCTCGTAGCTCCTCAGATGAACTGAATTTGGAATACGTTCAACGCTAGCAAGGCGTTCTCCCAAACGGCGCACTTATCCCCGACCTGGATTCCTTGATCACCTGGGAGCCCCTCATTGACGATCCTCGACGATTCAACTGAAATCACTGAGAACTTTACGAGTTTTCTAACTTTTATTTGCTTCAGACAACTTGAGACATGAAAAAAATCAATATACATCAAAATCGCATGGATTAGAAAAGAACAACTGATGACCATCGCAACAACGGGACATTATACTAGTTAGCAGTAAACGAACAAATGATGTAAGGGCCAAATCCAGTAGGACCATTATGCGGCGCAGTCATTCGCCTAAGGCGTTGAAGATGATGGAGCTATAAGACCACTACATGAGAGATCAACAGCTTCACACAGGAATTGTTTGTAGATCAACGAGCATAAAATCATTACATTAATAGGCTCGCATTAATCAACACATGATGGAGTAAGACGATTGAAGAAAACAAAACACCTCGTAGAATTAGATGCTATGACAGCTGAAACATTCCATTTAATCGAATTGACCTTAGGGCCCATTCAAGATGTAGTGAAACATCGGCAACGACGCGGCGCGGTGAAGCTGCGGCTTCGATCAATACCGAAAACTCTGCCTCGCAGCATAGCTTCAACTGAACCAGCGCCGTTCCCTGCGAAATTTCCACTAACTCATAAACAGATCTCATCGTACAATCGATAAACGGGATTATGAGGATAACCTTAAAACCACTGAATTCATAGCCATCTTCAAACAAGTGTCATACAAATAGAAAAAAAAAACACCAGAAATTCCAGAAATTCATCACATCCGTTAAGTTAAGAAAGTTCCGCATAAATGTCAACAGTTAGTCAAACCTTCAAATACCGTGAAGTAGCAACCGAACTTATGGTAAGACTGGCTTACAAAAAAAAAAACTACTGAAGAGAAAAATACTGTTATAATGTAGTTAGGCCGTTTATTGCAATGAATGGAAAAGAAACAACGGTATGAAAGGGCTTCAGAAAGTTAATAAAACAACCCTTAATATGAAGATTGGTCAGACCGACGAAAGCAGAATGATGAAACCCTGAAAGTTCACTGAGTAAGAATATCATCTTGTACAAAACTCATGCGAGCGAAGAGCCGTTTGTACAGTCACGCAGGTAAAGCACGAGTTTGAAAGCCCCGCTCCACTGCACCAAATTGCAGCTGCTTCTTGCGAATGGCGATATTTTATTACACAAGGTGGAAAGGCTTCATAGTCAAAAATAAATCGTGGCGGGATCCCTGATCGGGGTCGAATTGCTACCTATCTCACAGCGATCCAACGCACCGCATAGGCTAGCAGTCGTAATAACGTGCTGTATTCGCGAAAAGCGGCGAGACAACTAGCTAGTAAAGTGCTGTAGGTTGAGATAATGCCACGCATTAGAGGCAGAAGCTGTAAATTTCGTTAAAAATGAACAATTAACTTGATTCCCTGCCAAATTTCAGCGTTGAGTCATGTAGTAGTAAAGCTTGTGCCTTGTAGTAGCAACAAAAGTCGATCAGACAGTTCTTGAACAGACTTATGGTTTCATGTTAGCTTAACTGGTTTCTACAATGGAATTTAAAGCTTCATCACAAATCCCATAAAGTCTTACCGTTCCTGTACATAAGATCCATCACTGTCGAGCAATTTGAGAACGGCATCGATCATTCATAGTGTGACCTTTGGTTCGTCAGTCTTCATCTTTTTGGCTTCAACTTGATCCTGTGCTGGCATGTCAGCGGCTCTTTTGGCACTACTCTCATTTCGTCGATCATCGCCTTCGTTTTCGCCATCATAGAACTCTCCAGCATCCTGTGTTGCACCATCCATAATCGATCCTGAAATACTTAGTTGATTCACCTAATCATGTAAGACTTTCCCCCTTTCTCATCACCCCTCTCCTCCCCTTCCCGAAAAAAAAAACCTAGCCTCACCACAAAACTTCATTTCGGCGGAACACATACTTACGCGGAGGATACAGGGTTGAGAATTACAAAATGGGGGCGGTACTTAACAACCACTGGGGCAGTCTTCATTGGTTGACTATAATTTGGCCAAAAATCTCACTATTTCTAATACATTGAGATTTGCCGAATAACAAGTTGTGCAACATATTTTCAGCCGAGCCTTTCAATATGAAATACCACGTACGAGACTATATACCCATACCATTAGGACTTACGTTCTACTTGTAGGTTTGGGTAAATAAGAACCATATCTACAATAAAAAGTTCACACCTTTTTTTAAACATGCGCTAACCCACAATTCCGTTTAACCTTAAATGTTAAATGTCACAGAGTGTATTCTTACCAGTTAATAACTTGTATCAATAGAGCGACTTTTATGAAATCTGATATAGTCGCCGAGTATAAATCAACTCACTATGCAAGCGGACATCAGGATCTGCCATATCCTGGCCAAGGCTGGAGTCGTTCAACACTTTGATAGCGTCCTCGGGTACAGCTGAAACAATCGAATTCACTACTTAGTTCGTTTAATTGGTCCAGTGTGTTGACTTGTCCGAGAAGTAAAAAAAAACAAACAAAAAAACAAGAAAAAGGTAAACCGAAGTGCATACTATCTGATTTTTCAAAAAAAAAAANGCTAGTTCCTAGTCCAAACTTCGGGTCCATTATCATGAATCTCGTACGATATTACAAGTAAGCAAACTACTACTGAAAGGTAGGACTCACGTTGCATTTGGACACTTGGAGCGAATGCAAGCTTCTCAAGGTTTTGAATGACTGCTTCTCTGGAAATAATCTGATTGACAGAGATTACTAATAAGCCAGTAGAGCACCTAAACTCACTGTATCCTTCGTAAAGACTCTGGTGTGTTTTCGTTTGTAGCACTTGAAGGATCAATATGTAAACGGTAGTTAGGGCCGAAGTATTCAAAATAGTCGTTATAAGGTAGTTCTGGAAGAAGGAATCTGAAATAACCAACAACTTTTACCGGTTTCAAAACTCACCATCGGGAACCTCGCGATCAACTGCGAGCGTGGTTTCGTAGGTCCAACAACGAGCAACATTACGTGGAGTATATCCACCGCCTCCGACCATCATCAAAGGGATATTCTGTGCTCGGAAGAACTTCACACATTCTCCATGACCTGCAAAATCGGTTTTTCTGTATGGGAGATAGCTTTCATAGTAACCTTTCAAATATCTATTACTTTGCAAGCAACTGCAAAACAGAAGTTGACCCCTATATTGCATGAATTGCTTTAGCAAGAAAGAGTGCTCAGCAGATGCCAAGCGAGCGTGCGATTGCGCAGCGGTTAACTTGAGTACGGGCCTACATAACGTACAAAGAGTGAAGTATAAACAGAATCCGAACCTCTCAGCGTCAAATTGAATGGACCAAGACGATCGCCATTCAATGAATCAGCACCACACTGCAGAACAACAGCGCATGGTTGGAATCGTTCCATTACTTTTGTCATCACCTTAAGTACAAAAGTTTCAAACTTTAGCGGTAAAGACTGAATTTGCAGCGTTTACAACTTCGAAGTCATCGTTTACTTGAGTCATAGGGCAGTTTTACCGCTTAAAGCACTGATTGGACAAAGATAGGCTCCTTTTCACTTTGAAACTACCCTCCCATTAAAAAACACAGGAGATTTGAAAAGGACCTATGGTTCTGTGAGGAAGGACCAAAGGTCTCACGAAAAGCTGTGCAAAGGTGGATATGGACTGGATATGGAGAAAAAGAAAAAGACAAAAGCAGTAGAATTTTGTTTAAAAATAGAACATCGTCTAGCAAAATTATTCAGCGCCTTCTTTGAACTGCAGATAAGATTGATCAGGTAAATGCTACCAGGTCAACATGAAAATTCGGTACATTTTGCAAAAAACAAATAGTTGTTAAAAGGAAACTTACAGGCTTGAAGATGCTCTGATATGCGTCATCAGTGATGCCATCTTTCAGTGGAACATTGAGCGAATAAAGACGCCCCTTACCGGCACCAATATCCTGAAAAAACACAATTCTTGGGATTTCACCAAAGTATGTATACCAGGGCTCACGACCGGGACGAATGGAAACTTTACTGGTATCCGCTTGAACAAATCGATAATCAACGGGACGACAGGTGATACAGATAAAATATACCAGGAAAAACCATTACTTCTTCGGATTAATGCTAATGTCCGGACAGCTAAGACAACCTCACATGTGTTGATGTGAGATTGAAAGATATACCCGGCTGCATATATATGATCGCTTCGCAACAATTTTGCGACGGACGCGTGGGACCATGTTATCCACCATGATCCTTATTTCCGTCGCCTTCAGAAGAGGATGGAAACTCCAATTTCAACCCCTTCCAGTAGACGTTATTGTATCATCCAAACCCTAACGCGAGTTAGTTCATATGTTGCATCGACAAGAAAGTTGTGTTAAGAAATAAATACGTATTGATGGGGTTCTGTGAAGGACTGACCAAGAAAAGGATTCATTGGCATGAATCAGTCAAGAAATTAATCATGAGAAAATGGAGGAAAGTACAGAAAAGCCCGTGGAGCTAATGCTGATGAAGCAATGGATAAATAGTCATTATTTTCCACAGACCCCAATGAGTCGAACCAATAAATAATCAGATAACCAAGAAGAGCATTACAAGGAACTAAAAAACTTTTCATCCTCTTGCCCTTAAGTATATAAAACGCAGAAAACTCAAAACTAAAGAAAAGAGCTCAAGCACTCACAAGAAAACACGTTACTTTACTACAACTCGGAAGTTACTCTTTCGTCAGAGCCCCATTCAACAATACAAAATTTTTATGCAGACAAATATTAAGAAATAGGAAGCTCTGAAGGATACGGTGAAGAAATTAAAGATTGAAAGTAGCTCTCACCAACCTTGAGATCGCCTGTTCCTGGAAAGAAGTCACCGTACTTGTGAAATGATACGGTCATGACACGATCAGTGGTATAAAATGCTTCCTCAACACCATCTCCATGATGTACATCAATGTCAACGTAAAGTACCCTATAAAAGATAAAATTACGAATTAAGCTACCAGTTGAGAAACTTTACATTACCTTTTATGATACTTTAGCAGTTCTAGTATACCAAGCACAATATCATTTGTGTAACAAAATCCACTTGCTTCACTCTTTTTCGCATGATGAAGACCTCCCATCCAATTGATAGCTATATCGGCTTTCCTTTTGTTAAGTTTGACTGCTGCCGCTGAAAATAAAGAGTTAATATTACTAGTAAATTGACCAATTGACCACTTGGGTTGTACATGTTCAGCGCCGGTTTCAATGGAACACACTGGTAATTTTCTATACAATAGTAAAAGGTCGCCAAAGAGATGGTTCAGGGGGAAGAAAGAAGAATGCTAAGATTATAGGTGATAACGCATGATAAAATAGCTCACCCAAAGATCCACCGCTGCTCAGCTGACAGAACTCATACAAACCATCAAATAGCGGACAATCCTCGCCAACATTGACTTGAAAAAAAGTGTTAATAGCTACGTAATATGAAAATTGCGTAATACAACAAATAAGTGATCATTAACACAGTCATTACCAGTAATCGACAAATGTTAAAAGTTACAACACTCAAGTTACTTACACTTTAGCATTTGTTTATTATAAAGCTTCAAATTGTCCGGACTTGCGCACTTCAAGAAGCTCATATATTCTTCGCTATGGAAGCGGGTCATTTCCTCGAATGTGGCTGGGAACGGCCGCTGAAATAATGCCCTTTTTAACTTAAGGTTTATCTTCATTAACTTGTAAAAATAGTGGAGAAATAAAGCCGAGTGAAGACAAGGCTAAGGGTAGGAAATATAATTGTAAAATTTATACAGAGTGTCTATGTACTTTAGCATTTCCTCTTCACTAGGGAAAACGTAGAGCTACACTAATTATCAGTACAAGTTACATCAACTCTCAGAAAGAAGAGAAATCAAACGCAAACACTCATCAGCCCCATAACTTCACGGGAAGTTTCAACTTTAACCAGTGAGTCGTCGTTAAATTCTAACTCTAGCAGGTTATTTCGACTTGTTTTAAAATGAATTTTTTAAAGTGGACTGAAGAATTCACGAGTGTTACTACTGATTATTACAAGAAACCTATAAGGTTCTGTAAATATGTGAATACTCTTCACTTTAATGAATTTCCTGTGATAACCAGTAGTTTCCAAATAGCTTTACCGGAAAACTTTGCACGGTCTACAGCATCTCTATTCCTACCAGTTTAAGGATTGGTAAGTATCATCGAGAATTCAAGATTTTACTTCTTATAAAAAAACAGAAAACCTTGTACTGGAATTAAGAACTCACATAAACTTCAAGATCTCTATATACACCATAGTTCAGCAATAGATGATGGGTCATCCGTATCCTGTGTGGCTTCATTACGTGTCCTTGTCCATAGTAGTAATTGCCGATGTTTGCTGTAATAAAGTATGATCGATTCTATCGATTTCAACCAAACTCATCTTCAAATCTCGACAGTCACTTTCTTGGATTACCCTACTAGTACTTTTGGGAATAAAAGTTAAGATCTACTCTGGTTCTCGAGGAGAACAAATGAAGTCGTTACTCGCACCCACTCGTGGAAATCGGCGATCAACTGGCCAACAGGTGATAGTTCAGGTATGCAGATATGCTTTGGCTTCTAGCCATTATTGGCCTGCTTCCAACAAATTAAAAAACGCATGGCAAGTCCATATTTCCCTATTTTTTATGGTATGATAGAGGCCACAGACATGACTCAAGCATGAATGAGACTCAAAACTTAGCCCAAGGGTCTACTCAGCTCTGCGATCTCCCAACCGCAGCAATGGAAGGGGAATGGATAAAAACTCAGCACAAGGGTTATTACTTTAGAATCTACCTAATCATTAGCCTAAATAACTCCGACTCTCCTCAGTTGGAAGAAAGCCCTTTCATGAGATATTCTTGATTTTTGGACCAAAGGTTTTTTAGCTGAGTGAACGGAAGCAGAGCAATCCACAATCGACTCGTTTACGCTCCTTTCCACTAGGACTTCCTTCACTGTGTGGGTATAAACGAAGGCCAAGTTTTGGATCATCACTGATATCTAGCTATTAACCAACTTGTAACTTAGGAAACTATAGTTGTTAAAGTCCTGTGGCCCACCGCACACACTTTTCCCGTTTCATTTCACACTAGTATTCAGATACTACTAAAAATTAAGCCGTATACTTACAATCATAGTAGTAAGCGACACGACGCTTTCCATGTTCTTTGACGGGACCGTTGGACGAATTCATGAAGGGTCAACGACAAACGCGAATGTCACTGCCTAAAAAATGACTCCGCCATGCGTGGAATACTTAACGATCGGAAAATTCACGAGCGATTTCTACTGTTTCCGTTGTGAGAACAACCACAACAACAAGAAATCGTCTCAGTTGTTTATAAGAGAAGTAGTAAAAGTATAAAACAGGAAAAAATGTCGAGGAAAACAGTCGGGGAGTTTTAAAGCAGATTCGACCGGGAGGAAATAAGCATATGCCACTCGGGCAGTCCTCAAGATCAAAAACAGCTAGGTATTGATCTGGGGTAGTCAAAGATTTAGCAAATACTTTTTTATCCTACACAAGCAGTTTTTTTCCAAAAAAAAAACTTCAAAAAACGGTGAGGAGCTCCGATAACGTGAAGTTATCACTACTGGTACCGTAAATCGTGTTGGACGAGAGCAGCTTAAAATCCTCTGGCCTTGTGAGAAGGAAACTACTAATTTCTTATAGTAATTCCTAAATTTTTAAGTTTTATTCAAGAAAAAATGAAAAAGACTTAAAGAGACCCCGTTTTAAGTGTATGGTCTGAAGCGCGCGCTGAAGAGGAGAAAAAAATTTAAATAAAATCATTTAACAAATGGCAAAAGTGCTAAATAAGTTGAACACGCCATGAATGGATCATCGGAAGAGTTTGTTGGCATACAATCAATGAAAAATTGCTCTGATTCAAAGTAATCCTGTACTAAATGGGTAACCAATCGATAACGGGACGCGAAGAGAGTATCACGCAGCGTTGTGTGGGTGATGAATGAAGGGGCAGCGGTGATGTCATAGGGGGCCGTAAGGGCCTAATAACTATCTGTCTGGGGAAGAAAACAAACGATTATAACATGCTACTGGTAAGGTCGGCTATCGTGTGCCCAGTAAGTGGTGTGAAGTACAGTGGGAAAGTGCGCGATCAATAAACCCCTGTTTTCCAAACACTAGCCATTACTAGGGAATGCACAAAATCCAAAAAGTAAAACCTCGGGAAATGAGTTGTTCGTTCCCACATACTAAAATGGGGCTGTTTGAAAATATAAATGGAGGGGCCACATCCCTATGCTCTGCGTCCCTGCGGGCTAACAGCTAGAGCCAAAGGAAGATAAGAGCCGACTTCGGGTTTTCCTAGTAGTGGTTGGAACGATTCTGAGCTAGGGATGGAGTTTTTGGTCCAAGCCCTGGAGGAGGAGCAATGCTGACCCTTTGCGAGAAGCTGGAATGGACCACGGGAGTGTAGTTGTGATAAGATTTGCAACAGCGTTGACTGCAGCTATCAGAACAAACAGAAAGGAAAGTTCTGGACGGGCACTCGGCCCCAAAAGTAATCCGACCAAGAGTCCAAGCTCAAACGAGTACAGTGATGCAAATGCCAACCCCCAGCCACGCCAGCAGCCAGGCATTGCTCCTGCCGAGGTCGATTTTCGATGTGCCGTATAGGTGACGGGTGAGAATTTTTGTATTCAAATATGGTTATGCCGTAAGAGTGAATATGTTGCCGTGAAATTCTGCGTCCATTGCATTTTATTTCGACGTAAAACTACTGTAGGAGTCGAGTCCCCGTAATGAATTTAGTTCCTGACTACCAATAAGACTAAAACCCGTAAAAAACAACCCAAATTATGATTCTGAGTACGTGAACAAGGGAGTGATCGGTCAGACTTGGCATCGAGTCGCCGTCACAGCGTCACGCCAAACTATGGCATTTGAAATGAACCGCGATTTGGGGTCCATATCTATTTTGTGGCACACTCTGGAAGTATGCACCATCGATCCATCGTGAACCATTATTTTGGTGAAAGCCAGTGGCATGAAGCTTTAAGCTCAAGCCCAGGAAGGGGAGGAGCATCAGGATCATTGAAATTCTGTGTCCATGCGAAAAGTTGAAAAGGAAGAGGAACTGGGCAATAGGGTTCTGTCCTATTGAGGGAGCACAAACAAGAGAGAGAAGCCGAACAGCCCTCACTATATTTTCCCCACGAT